TGCCTTCATGCAGTTACTAAGCTTTTTTATTCGATGGCGAACTGCATCGTGGACTTTACTGAAAGAGTTTTGACTGTCTTCATCTTGGTTCACATCGTCGTTTGGGGTAGCACCAAATATCAAATCGCCATGTAGCTTTAATTCATTTCCGAACAGAACTTTGGCTGGGGTCCGGGATGTGGAATCATGAATGGCCGATCTATAAGCCAGTAAAAACTTTGGAATATGCTCATCCCAGTTTCGTTGGCCACTGTCCACCACTTTCCGTAGATGTTCTTCCAGGGTGCGATTGAATCTTTCCACCATGTCATCTGATTGTGGATGTAGGGGCGTCGTTCTGGTTTTCTTGATTCCGTAGGAGTCCCACATTTCCTTGAAGATCGCTGATTCAAAATTCCTACCTTGATCGGAATGAACCTCCGATGGAACACCATAGCGACAAATCCAATTTTTGCTGAACACATCCACAATTGTCCTGGCTTCTTGATTTGGGATAGAATAAACCTCTGGCCATTTGCTGAAGTAATCCATGACCACTAAGACATACCGGTTCCCAGAGTCACTTATTGGGAACGTTTCAGCTACATCCATTGCGATTCTTTCAAAAGGGGCTCCTGAATTATACTGCTGCATGTAGCCTCGACTCTTCCGTGTTGGACCTTTAGCTCTTATGCACCTTTCACAATTGGCGATCCAGTCGGCAATGGATTTTTAACAGCCGACCCAGTAGAATCTCTGCTTTACCTTTTCAGCGGTTTTTTTGAGATTTACCGTCCTCACTTTCCCATTTGCGATATAAGCAACCATCTATTATAAGTAGACTGTCCCACTGGGCCCAATAGGATTTTAAAAGAGGGCTTTCGGAGGTAATTTCTTTGCGACTAGGTCGCTTGCCCGTTTCTATGGCCGAAATTATTTTGCCCAGAATGGGATCCCCTCGTTGTTCCGTCGACCAATCTTCACCCGACTCAAACTGCAATAGTCGGACATCAACGATATTCTCCTTACACTCAGCCTTTGAGCAATGCCTGCATTCTACCTTAAATGGCCGACGAGACAGGGCATCAGCATTACCATGTTTTCCGCCTTTTCTGTGCTCGATTCTGAAGTCATAACTCTGGAGCCTCTCGATCCAGGGGGCTAGTTGAACTTCCGGATTAATAAACTGCAGCAACAATTGGAGAGCAGCGTGGTCGGTCCTCAGCAGGAAATGCTGGCCATATAGGTATTTGTGGAAGTGTTTAACGCTCTCAGTCTCCCGCTCTCCGCGGGCTCCCCCGTTGCTGTGCGCAGTCTGACTCCATTAAGTTGCGTTATTTTTCACTTTACAAGATCTGATCTTATGATGGACTTTGATGCGCCAGTATCTAACGTCAGAACTCGCTTATCACCATTGGTGTACCCAGTTGTTGTTAGGTTGTGACTTTTCTGTTGTACTATTGCTATGGAGATTGTGGGGCCATCGTCGATGGGAGCCAGTTCATGCCCCGCTGGACTGGCTCGATTTAGTTTAACGGTGACTCATTGGTGGACTGTTGAGCCATTCTTCTTCAGTTGAGCCGGTCTCCAATTGGCGAATCTTGTGGGTCTGGGGCTTAACAATTATTCTTGCCGTCTCTTGGGCAAGGGCAAACGACACGGTTTCGGCATTTTCTTCTCCAGATTCGTAAACCTGTGGTCGTGGGCCAGAAATTTCTCATCCATTCATAATTTGGACCTCCACGGTTTCCACTCTCCTTCCAATAACTTCTGTAATGTTCTCGAGTTTCTCGTTCATTATTCTCGAATTTTCGTCAAACATTCTACAATTCTCTGCCTTGAGTTCATCTAACTTTCTGGAATTCTCTTCGAACATTCGTCTCGTGTTTTCTTCTAACTTTCTGGAATTCTCTTCGCTCCTTCTGAAATTTTCCTGAAACATTTTAGCCAGCATTTCTCTTAAATCGTCACCTCTGGCAGCTACTGACGAGACTTCCCCACCGTTGGATTCGCCCATTTCCGATAAATCCACTTCATCCTTACTGTCAAACTCATATGTATCGATGTTCATACCACGGCGCTCGAACTCATCCAACAGACGTTTTTGTAGCTCAGCCTTGTTGCCAGTAGAGGACAATTCCAATTCATTGAGCTCCTTCTTCAAGTCTTCCACTCGTAGATCCTTAAACTTCATCGTAGTATTATCGTAATCCCACTTCCGACACCAATTGTTACGTTCTTGGATTTTACTTAATCCCGTGTAGACGTTGTTTTATTTCCCAATACAGTTCCTACTAAATAAAACGCGGGTTCTTTCTGATTACGAATATTACAATGATTTTATTGACACAACTTTACTTTGCACTTTACTTTACTTGACGATTTCAATTCGCGATCTGATTCACAACTGACTAACTGTCTTGCCCTTTCCCCTATTTATATGAGCCTTGCCTGTCGCTACAGAAGTTTTTAGACGATCTGGTAACACCTAGATTACGAACAATCTACCAATGCAACAAACACATACAAACTTACATTGAGTGAACAATAACAACAACACATATACAGGCGAGGGAGTAACAAAGAAAGAGGAATTACATTGAGTGAACAATAACAACAACACATATACAGGCGAGGGAGTAACAAAGAAAGAGGAATTAAGCGATCATCAATTATGACGTTTAACAAGAATTGTACGTCAATAACAAAATAGAAAATGAAAGAGGAAATGGAAGGATGTAGAAAAATCTATGCAGTAGTTGTTGTTGTGAAGTTATTCGAATAAACTGCGTAGTAGAAATTTTCGTTACAATTCAAATTCTTAAATTAACGGAATTCATCTAAATTAACTTAAATCTAAAGTTATATTCCTAACAATATGTACAAGAAAGAGAAACGCAGATTTCCGGTTATAGCGAACAACGCTTATAAGCAACTACACATATAACAAACAAAGCTAATTCTTTCTCAGATATTTTCATTAGTTTTCTTACACACAACAAACGGTTGAAAACTATTAGGGTAGTGTGTTAAAAAAATGTCGACCCCGCGATCAGATTTTTAAAGGAGTAACTATTACAATGTTGTATGTTTTTGCAGAATGCATTAATAACAATTAATTCAGTACCCATTTTTACTCTTTAATGTTATTAATATGTAAAAGTGAGATAAAACCATGCTTACTACAGTTGAACACGATTATATTAAATCCTGGATATACTGAACAACATTTTTTCATATGTCATTTTTTATTTTTAATCAATGCTGAAAAAAATAAATGTTTGGTGGTTTATATTCTAAGGGAAACCCAAGCCCGGCATTTCCTGTTCTCCAATTTTTAGATTTTTTTATCATAATCTTTTCTTCGACAACCTATTTTCGGTTTACGACTCACGTTATTTATATTGTAATCAAAATTCGAGTGTATTCGGTTTTTTCTTCCTATGACATTTGGTCCATCTTGACAAATGCATGCAAAATAACCAAATTCCCTCTTTTAATTTGACGTATTTTTTGTCCATATTGTTGTTATTGCCAACTTTACTTGCGGGGACGTAGTAAACAAGAATATGTTTCTTTGCTTTTATTTCTTTCATCAAACCAAATATTAAAAATTTTATTGTTTTTTATTCTAAAGTTCTCTAAAAAAATCGCAATTTGAGACCTATTGGAATCGATTTAGAAGGCTTTCATTTATATATAACAGTTGCTAAAAGATCAGACAAACTTAAACATTTTAGTAAAAGTCTATCTAAAATGACTTATGTGTAAAAAATAAACACATTTATTTTATTATAGTCAACTATGTAAATTTTGAATCGCTACACAAACCTATTAAAAAATATTATATATTAAATAACCAGCACACACCACAGCAAATACTCTCCATGTCTAATTTTTATGTTTATAATTTGTATTTAGCGGTTTCAAACGTTTTAAAATACGAATTGATATTTAAAATTTTTTATTTCTTTAAATTAATTTTCAAAGTGTAGAGTTTGGCTACGATTTCCACCGCTTTTATGGCACTTTTACGCAAAAAATCTTAGAGAATCATACATTTTGACGTTTCGTTTTTATTGCCACCAAAAAATATATTATTATTAAATTTTGAAAAATGACTTTTTGCCTAAAAAACTTTCCAAATTACCTATACTTCAATGGGACAAATTTATGTTAATCGATTTAAAGTAAACGTAATATACGGTATTCGGTATGCTCACTCAAAATAAAATCTCAATCAGACACCCATTCGAAATATATGTGAAAGCTATATTTGCATCTGCACCAATTTCAACAAAACGCAATAACGCCATTCTAGTCTTAATTTGATTTATACTAACTGCAGTACATTGTACAAATTGTGTGTCAATCGTAGAAACTTTGGATCTTTAGTGCACAATTTACATAAAATTGAAAGAAAATATATATGTCAGCTCTATCTAAATCTGAACCGATTTTCTCGAATCAATTCAGTGCATTGTGCCTAACTTCGTACAAATCGAAGATATATAGGGGCTTTGGTGCACCATTTACATTAAATCGGACGAAAATATATACCGGAGCTATATCTAAATCTGAACCAATTTTCACCAATTTCAATATGGTTCGTCCAAACAAGTTACCTGAACCAAATTTCATCCAAATCGGATTATAAATTCGACCTGTAATTTAATACTAACAGACGGACATGCATAAATCGATTCAGAACTTGATTCTATGTATATTCTCAAAAGGAACCATGGGTCTATCTCGTTTCCTTTTGCATGTTACAAACATAATACCCTGAACCATAGTGTATTGAAGGGTATAAAAAGGAAGTGTGGGAGATCCGCGACGTTATCCACTTTTGGCTTCAAAAATAGCTTCTCTGGCCTATATAATCTAAATACAAAAGTTGATCAAAATCGGTCACACCATTTAGGAGGACAATTTATACGAACACTGTCACAAGTGAATTTAATATATATAGCAAAAAAGATATGTATGGCCTTTGAGAAACATAATTTTACTACACCTACCTTGGCTGCCATCTGTGCAATCCCACGTATTGAAATATGCCTCTATACGAACGTTTAGAGCCATTTAAAAAGCAAGTGTCGTGAACAGCTGTAAAGTGTGCTAGGTCTGCGCCATTTTCGGGAATTTCTTGTATATGGCAGTTTACGAAGAATTCGTTTCTGCCATGATAAACCAATTCGTTGTTATCAATTTCACTTAATGTTGGTATGTCCCATGGTATCTGTTCCACATCTACACTATACCAAATATATATATTGTGATTAACTTCCCGTGATGTCCAATTTCGTATTTTACTTGACTTGGGTACTGTACAAAGAATGATCAAATATCAAAATAATAGTTTTAAGTTGAATTCAATTATAATTATTAACCAAACAAGACAAGAGGTGCATAGCACCGAAACATAAATGTTAGAGATCAAATAAAGCAACACCATAGCAGTGTGAATAAAAACAATCACTTCTAACATTAACTGGCGTCCAACAACCACAAGGATTAACACATCCTAGAACCCAACAACCGCAAGGATTAACGCATCCTTGAACCCAACAACTACAAGGATTAACACAACACAGAAGAAATGTTAAAATAAGATTAAACAAAATAAAGAATAACACAGAAAGTGAAACTGTGACATCTAATTTACAAAAAATCATATTTGTGCTAGAATACGTTTAATAAAAATAACAAAAGCAAGAAGAAAGAAATGTTAGAGTAAGGTAAAACAAAAAATAAAGTGTGACATCTAAATTTACAGAAAAAAATCATATTTTTGCGTTTAACAGAAATTAACAAATGTAAGAAATATGAAATGTTAGATTAAGTTAAAACAAAAATAGAGTGTGGCATCTAAATTTACAAAGTCATATCCGTGCTGAAATAAGTTTAAATAAATTTTGATAATAGATTTGTGACGAGAACTAGGGTTTGGTGTTTCAGGACAGACATCTTCGTCCTCTGGGACTGCTCCCGGAAGGTTTATTCCCTTTACGGAAACGCAGACTAATGATGTGAAGCGAATAATACGTGAGACGGTGGCAAACCTTCTCAAACAGGGGGAGAATGTTATCGCCATTAAGGATGTCGTCATAGAAGGATCTGGGGATATCTCAGAAGGAGAGAGAATACCAGACATAGTGAACACGTTAAGGGAATTTTGGGCAAGCCAGGAGAATTTAGTTCGTGGAGAAAGGCTGTTGATAGGATCATGAACATTTATGAGTCACAAAGGGGAACAACCAAATACTTCACAATTCTACACACTGTTAGGCACAAAATTGTTCATGAGACCGACACGGCTTTGGAGTCTTATCGGACCCCATTAAATTGGAAAGCGATAAGAAAGTTTTTTAGTGCTTCATTCTTTAGATAAGAGAGATATTTCGACCTTAGAGTATCAACTGATCGTTTTGTCTCAGGGTGGGCAAACCATAACGGATTTTTACCAGAAGGTTTACAACCATTTGTCGTTGATTCTGGACAATATTGATTGTCTGGATATAGGGAATGAGGCCCTACTCAATATCGTTATCAGAATTTCCGAAGTTGAGAACCACAATATGGAGGGCAGGAGAACTTTTCGAATCGACCTCCAGTAGTGAATAATTTTGGACACCCCCAATACGGAGGATACAGACTCCCACTTCCTTCTAAACCTGCTGTACCAATGGACGTGGATCGACGAATACAGACTAGACAGGTAAACTATCAGAATAGGCCACAGATGAGTAATGCTTTTAACAATGGTCAGCCTAACATTAAGAGAAATAATTCAGGTAAATTTATCAGCCGCAAAAGCAGCAAAGAATGTTTAATGTTGAGGCCCAAATACGTGTGGATGCAGAGCCGGATGAAATGAATGGTTCTGATGAACAGGAATATGAGGTTGCCTATGACGAAGCGTACGAGGAGGATCTAGACGATCAGTTGGCAATTGTAGATGACGTTAATTTTTTAGACTAGCTTCAATGTTGCCATACCTCGCTTTCTGAATGAAAAATGTCAACGAACTGAAATTTCTTATAGACACCGGTACGAACAAAAATTATATTAATGGCAAATTTATTAGAAACCCTCTAAAGAACCAGAAACTTTTTCATGTTAAGTCCGTAGGCGGCATAGTTAGTATCGATACCCATAGTTTTATTGACGTTTTTAATTGCGGGATCGGAAAGTTAGAATTTTACATCCTTCCTGGTCTAGAGACCTTTGATGGGATAATAGGGACTGATACATTGAAATCTTTGAATGCAGTGATTTACACTTGGAGATCCTATCTCACAATTCTGGATGGAAAGAAATTTCATTTGAAAGAGCTGCAAATTAATGAGATTAATAAATCGTCTAAATCCCGACGATGAAAAAGAAGTCAGGAATATTTTGGATGAACATCCAAACCTTTTTGCAGATCCCAATAAGAAACTCACTTACTCGACAGTCGTACAAGCTGAAATTAATACGAGTAGTGATAGTCCAGTATACTCAAAATCCTATCCATATCCAATGGCACTAAAATCCGAAATTGACAAACAGATTAAAGAACTATTAAGGGACGGGATAATTCGCCCTTCCAGGTCAGCATATAATGCTCCAGTTTGGATAGTGCCAAAGAAACCAGATGCTTCAGGTGTGAAAAAATACCGCATGGTTATTGACTATAGGAAACTAAATGAGATAACTAGACCTGACAGATACCCCATACCTGAAATTACAGAAATCTTGGCTAACTTAGGCGAGCAGAATTACTTTTCCACCATAGATTTAAAGAGCGGATTCCATCAGATTCCACGTAGGGAATACGATATTGAGAAAAAAGCTGTTTCCGCCAAGAATGGGAAGTTCGAGTTCACAAGACTACCATTTGGACTACGTAACGCGTCTGCAATATTTCAAAGAGCTCTAGATGATATTCTTCGAAAACATATAGGGAAAAGGTGCTACGTCTACATAGATGGCATTTAAATATTTGGTAGGACTAAAAAGGAACACATTGAAAATTTGAGGATAATATTCCGGACTTGGAAGACTCTAATCTGAAAGTTCATTTGGACAAGAGTGAATTCTTAAAGGAAGAAATTGACTTCTTAGGGTTCAATGTAAAGGAAGGAGGTTTTTCCGCAAACCCAGACAGACTTAAGGCCATAGTTAATTTCCCTCAACCCAGAACAGGTCATGACTTGCGATCGTTCCTAGGTTTGACTGGACATTATCGTAGATTCATAAGGGGCTACGCTCAAATTGCAAACCATTAACCTCCATGATGAGAGGCGATATAGGGAAAAACCCGAAAAACCAGTCAAAAAACATCAGTGTCAATTTGAATTCCGAACAGATTGAATTCGAAATACGCTTTAGGAGCAGTTTTATCTCAAGGCAAAAGACTTATCACATGCCTTCTAGAACTCTCAGTAGGACAGAAGAGCAATATGCGACAAATGAGAAAGAAATGCAATCGATAATTTGGGCTTTAAAGGAATTGAATTGTTACTTGTATGGAGCAAGATGTATAAAGATATTTACCGGCCATCAACCTTTGACATTTGCGCTAAGCAACAAGAACACAAATGTGAAGATGAAAAAGTGGAAGGCACAGTTAGAAGAATATAATTACGAGTTAATTTATAAACCAGTTAGCACGAATGTAGTAGCGAACGCGCTATCGAGACCAACAGTGACAGATGTTAATTCCCTAACGCCCACGGTTCACAGTGCCGAGGATCTGGGGATATCTCAGAAGGAGAGAATTTACGAAGTGGAGAACAACAATACGGAGGACAGGAGAACTTTTCGAATCGACCTCCAGTAGTGAATAATTTTAGATACCCCCTGCCTAAACCTGCTGTACCAATGGACGTGGATCGATCCATACAGGCTAGACAGGTAAACTATCAGAATAGGCCACATTTGAGTAATGTTTTTAACAATGGTCAGCCTAACTTTAAGAGAAATAATTCAGGAAATATTCATCAGCCGCAAAAGCAGCAGAGAATATTTAATGTTGAGGCCCAAATATGTGAGGATGCAGAGCCGTATGAAATGAATGGTTCTGATGAACAGGAATATGAGGCTTCCTATGACGATGCGTACGAGGAGGATCTAGACGATCAGTTGGCAATTGTAGATGACGTTAATTTTTTAGACTAGCTACAATGTTGCCATACCTCGCTTTCAGAATAAAAAATGTCAACGAACTGAAATTTCTTATACACACCGGTTCGAACAAAAATGATATTAATGGCAAATTTATTAGAAACCCTCTAAAGAACCAGAAACCTTTTCATGTTAAGTCCGTAGGCGGCATATTTAGTATCGAGACCCATAGTTTTATTGATGTTTTTAATTGCGGGATCGGAAAGTTAGAATTTTACATCCTTCCTGGTCTAGAGACCTTTAATGGGATAATAGGGAATGATATCTTGAAATCTTTGAATGCAGTGATTTACACTTGGAGATGGAAAGAAATTTCCTTTGAAAGAGCAGCAAATTAATGAGATTAATAACATGAATCTACGTTTAAATCATCTAAATCCCGAGAATAAAAAAGAAGTCAGGAATATTTTGGATGAACATCCAAACCTTTTTGCAGATCCCAATAAGAAACTCACTTACTCGACAGTCGTACAAGCTGAAATTAATACGAGTAGTGATAGTCCAGTTTACTCAAAATCCTATCCATATCCAATGGCACTAAAATCCGAAATTGACAAACAGATTAAAGAACTATTAAGGGACGGGATAATTTCCAGGTCCGCATATAATGCTCCAGTTTGGATACTGGAGACTCTAATATGAAAGTTCATTTGGACAAGAGTGAATTTTTAAAGGAAGAAATTGATTTCTTAGGGTTCATTGTAAAGGAAGGAGGTTTTTCCGCAAACCCAGACAGATTTAAGGCCATAGTTAATTTCCCTCAAGCCAGAACAGTTCATAACTTGCGATCGTTCCTAGATTTGACTGGACATTATCGGAGATTCATAAGGGGCTACGCTCAAATAGCCAAACCATTAACCTCCATGATGAGAGGCGATATAGGGAAAAACCCGAGAAACCAGTCAAAAAAATCAGTGTCAATTTGAATTCCGAACAGATTGAAAGTTTCAAACAGCTCAAGAACTCAAGTCGTTTTGAAGTATCCCGACTTTGATAAGCCCTTTGAACTCACTACTGACGCCTCGAAATACGCTTTAGGAGCAGTTTTATCTCAAGGCAATAGGCCTATCACATACCTTTCTAGAACTCTCAGTAGGGCAGAAGAGCAATATGCGACAAATGAGAAAGAATTGCTGGCGATAATTTGGGTTTTA